TTTCCTTTCTCGGCCAGATCTGGCCATCATTTTCTCTCTCCCTTCCCCTCCTTTTTCTTATTCTTCTTCTTTCCGATTAGATCTACGTGCGGTGATTCGATATCATCTCCTTGTAGATCTACGGTTGAGGGAGGGTTTTGATTTACTTGCAGATACGGAGGAGGCTGGGGCGACGGTTGGGGCGGTGGTGGGGGTTGGGCGACGGTTGGGCAGTGGTGGAGATAGGGATTGGGGTGGTTGTGGTGTTGAGGGGCAGGGGTATTTTGGGCAATGTAATCCATTAGTCAACACTCACTAAAAATGACTAAAAGTCAAGCTGGGAACATAAAAACCGGACGGAGGGAGTACATCATTTGTACATCACAGGTTTGCACAAACATTTCGATGGTTTACACCGACACAAGTGTTGATGCGTTAAAAAAAATTCACACAGACACAAATGTTGGTGCGTTTAACAAAAATTAGTTTTACACCAACACAAAGTGTTGGTGCAAAACTGCGGGGTACAAACCTTGGGGTACACATAGCATAATCCGGAGTAGTAAATTCAGATTTCAGACTTAGCTCCATTCCATTCCACTTATTTTTTCTGATCTGATCTGATTTTTGTAGTTCTGTCTGATCTGATCTGATTGGATCTGATTCGATTGGTGATGGTTAGAAGAAGTCAGATGTAAACGATATACATATATACGTTGTACCATTAACCCTTATTTAACTTTGATTTTTGTAGTGTAAAAACACGTGGTTGGAACGTGGTGGTGAATGGTACATCTTGTACCAATGCAATTCAAAAAACATACTTCCTCCGTCCCAAATTATTTGTCACATTTCTATTACCGAAGTAAAATATTAAATTTTTTCAATTCGTTTTATTTACATATTGGTAAAGAAATAAAAAATAAAAATTACATATCAAAAAACTACATGAAAAGTTCTTCGAAATAAGAGGTTTTAAGAATATTTTATTTTATCAAATAACCAATGAAAACGTCGAAATAAACAAAAGTTCCCGCGACTGCTGAAAAAGCAAATGTTGTGAATATTTAGGGACGGAGGGAGTATAACCTCACACATCTCAAAAAAAATCGGAGTCTTAGACGCTACAAGCACGCCGCCACAAGGAAAGAAGAAGAAGAGACTGATCCACCCTTCATTAGCAGTATACGTTCTATCGTTTAAAGTAATTTCTCACCCAACGTTTTTCAATTTAAACCTTTTTTCTACCAATTAGAGTTATGCTGGTAGAACAATTTGATTTTTTATATTATTTTAAAACTTTGGTTGATAAGAAATAATTATGTTCGATTTGTAATTGTGTTTGTGCCATTTCTATAGCACATAATTTAGTTTTTGATTTCGCATATTCAAAATACATAAATATAAATATCATAGAAAACTACATTTCAAAAAACAAACGTCCATCCAGGACCACTTGTGCGAGACATATTAGTTCTAGGACCTAGTGAGTATCAGAGTGATAAGATGTGGCAGAACCAACATTCGCAAACGTGTCGTTGAAGTGCATTAAGTTTTTCCATAGCTTGCATGAAAGGTTGGGCGTGGAGCGTCATGCAAAGATTACAGAGATTTTGCGAGAGTGTGGGTTTTTCAGAGTCGAAATGGTTTCTAAGTTATAGATCAATTGGGCTCTGATTACCGTCTTAGTCAAGAGATGGCGGCCCGAGACCCATGTATTCCATCTTCCTTTCAGAGAGGTTGGCATCACATAACATGACATTGAGGTCTTACTTGGTCTCTTCGTGGATGGCACTCACGTGGTTTGTTCGCCCGAAAGGACACAAGATTTTGGGGCCCAGATGTGTGAGGATTTGATGGGATTTAGCCTCAATTTCAAGGACTTATCCAAGAGGCAGATCAGAATGAATGCGATTAGACTCATTCCACAGAGTGAGCAGGGTTTCGAGGTCAATTTTATGCATCATGCACGGATCCTTTTGTTGAAGCTTATGGGTGGTACTTTACTTGCCCACACAACATGTAAGAAGGTGAACTTGTGCCTGATTGACTTACTCATGGGCACAACATTATAGGTGCAGAGTTTGGACAAAAGTCTAGCAATATTGGCATGCCTTTACCGTAACATGTGCCACACGGCTCTAGTTGACTATGGACAGATCAAAGGCTCACTTGTTTGTTATAGATTTGGGCTTGGGAGCGCATCCCGTTGTGTAGACCATAGGGCATGCTATCCTCTGCAAACATCGGAGGACTGCCTAACAGAGACGGGTAATGTTTTTCTTACATGTTGTTTAGTTAAATCGTAGAATAGTAGTACTTATTATTTGAAATTCTATTCCCAAGTGGGTGTGTTATGACAGTGGGGATCAGGATGGAATCTGGATCATTAATCTTTTTGAAAGCTTCAATCACGTGTAAATGTTCTCATTCCATTGGTATTGTCACTACAGAACTATCAAAATGCATACTCTGGAAGTGTAATGCCACTACCAAATGAAATGGAATAGCCTAATATGGGTTACGAATTTGTGCGACTAAATACAGGGTAGAGGCCGTAACAGGTCGTTCAGTAAGCACCGGTTTCACTAATAACATGGATATGCGACCACGAAGGCATCGTGGTGCTACTTAGTTAATTTATTAGTGTCTATTTTCGATTTTAAATTATGACGGCAGTCGTCAACTTTTAATTTTGTACTTTTCATTTCGGTAATAACGCGTCATACACTTTTGTAATATTATTTTATATCGATCCAAAGATATATGTTGTTGGATTTAAATTTTGTAAATCTCTTCATTTTTAAAAAAATTGTCCCGAATGAATTTCTAAAATAACATTAAAAATAAAATGAACAACGACACATTTTTTTGTATTATTTAAGAATTTAATGTATCTAAAAAGTAATAATAGATAGTTATGTAGGAAATAGAGCGTATAAAGTATAATGATCGTAAATAATCAGATTATAATGGTAAATCATCTACTGTTGATAAAAATAAAAGTGTTGAATGATATATTTTCTACCGTTAAACCATAAGTCAAGGCTGCTCGAAAATGTCATGAGCCATCTTCACCATTTGAAAATGATTTTTTCATATCGTCACTGATTGGGAAAACACCGTAAATTTACGGAGGATTACTCTTTTTTACCAAAAAAAGATTAAACCCCAAAGGGTAGTGAGGACAGTGGGTATACTTCTGATACGTGTAAAGTTTTTGTTAGATGCATGTTTAACTCTAATTGTTGTTGTTAGAAGTCGAACTCAAGTTTATTCTTTTGACACTTACCTCCCAATCACTTTAGCTACATGACTCAAGCAATTTTTGATATGGTTACTCACATATTAACTTGACCAGCTAGTTGTAGTGTGCTTGTGGTTACGCCTGTTCAAGTTTAGGTCTGGACCGAAAAAACCTATTGATCCAGACTGCTAGGTCCAGACCGAAACCGTAGTGAATGGGTTTCGAGTTGGTCTTTGGTCCCAAAAATTTAGGCATTCAGGTTTTAGTCTAATCCGATCCAAACCCAAATAATTTAGGTATAAATCAACTGGACTGAGTGGACCTAAAGACCATGTTAGACCTATGAGATCTAAAGACTAAAACTCTACCTTTTATGTTCAGTACACATTGATGTTTTTGTGTATGTATTTTTAGATTGTCAATTTTATTTTTTCTTATTTGCACGATGATAGAAAATAAATGCATCGGAGGTTACCTACTTTCTAGGTACTAGAAAACAACCACAACAACAACCCAGTTAAATTCTATAAGAATATGGTCTGGAGAGGGTGTGTGTACGCAGACCTTACCCCTACTCGAAAGTAGAGAGACTGTTTCCAAAGAGACCCTCGGCTCAACGTCAAAAGTTGCATTGCTTGACTAACTGCTATTTTATTAATTAAAGAAGCGCAGACAGTTTAGAGATCCATTTTGATTTATTCCATCACACACCTCAAAACCAAAAAAATGGTGAAATTTTGACTCCATCAGAGATGATGGAAAAATATAGTGTGTTGAACGCATAAATAAATGGACAGAAGTATTTTTACGTACAAACCAAATTAGTTAAAATCACGGGTTTTTTTCCGGTAGTATCATGCCAACGGAGATATTTAATTATATACTTGGGAGGAGCTTACAATATACGTGAGGCTTGAAAGCCATTGATGAGCTTGAAGCTCTTTAGTGGGGGTAAAGAGTACTAATCTAATAGATGGAGTATAAG